CTACATACTGTACAGAGTTCTTTACTTTATAACAGTTCTCTGTAGGTTCCCAATTGGGTGTTTATATGTATGTGTATATTTATCATGTGATTTGATTCTGTTAAATGTACAGTAGTAACATTAAATGAAAACATCTTAAAAAATTTACTGGTCACATAGGTCTTTTTTTTTTTTTTTACCTTTAGTATTATTGTAATTATTATTATTTTTTTATAAAATAGGAATCTTTGCTTCTTCTACTCTTTAGTTTCAAATGTAAAGGTAATTTTATGGGCCAATAATGCAGAAAATGACAGATGAACGATAATCCATAAAATCCAAAGAATATTACAACATGGCTCAATTTTCTGGGCCAAAGGTTCAGAAAACTGAGGACTCAGATAGTGGAAACTTGGGATTTGCACTGTGGGCCACAGTGTGTGAGGGTTATGACCACTGCTCTACCACTGGGAAATATGGGCACATGCCACTGGAGGGACTGTAGCCTCTTGTGCCACCGAGACATCTGGCTATCACTATGGCCAATGTTGTAATACTCTTGAGGATTGTAGTCACTGTTGTATCTTTGTTGGAATGAGAGGAGTACTGTAGTATAGTGTGTCTTTAATACGGATTGAAGGATACTGCTATCGTCATGTGTTTATGAGCTTTCAGGGTAAAATCTGCTAAGTGAGAGGAATTTTCTGTCATAAAAATTTCAAGTTCCATGAATCTAAAATTTGTATCACCTTGTGGGTGAGCAACGTCAGGAAAAGTTTCGAATGCAGATAAATAATTTACTGTACAGTACGGTGATTTAGTATTTCAAAAAAAAAAAAAAAACATGGAAAAAAAAATAGTCAGCTTGACACAGTACAGAACATGTGATGAGGGTCATTGTGCTACCAAAAAATTTACACTATTTTGTTACAAAGCAATTTGTGAGGTGGTAAAGTTAAGAGGGCTATCCTGCCAATCCAGAAAAATTACTGCTGCCCACACCACCTAACAACCATAATAAAAGTATACAGTATACAGTAATGTGATGCACACTTTACTGTAAACTGCACAGTACATATTCTGTATGATTTTGAGATTGTAAATATTTGAGTTTGTAATGTTAGCTTTTTTTCTTTATATAACATACAGAGTATTATTCAATCTTAGTTGTCCTCCTCCCCAGGAAAAAGTGTGTGTGCGTTTTTATGTTCGAGATTATATAATCTACCTCTGTAGTTATTTTTTTTTATTATTTTTTTTTTTTATTTCAAGCTACCTGTACTTTAAACACCGAAATCTGGCAAATTCATTGTGTATAAGATACTGTACAAGTAAGTGCTAGTACTGTACTCACTTTGACAGTGGTCTGATTCTTGATTCTCTTGCTGGCAGGCTGATACCAATAATTTCCACACAAGTTCCATGTTGAGTATCATTTCCTCACACTAATATATAAACTAACATTTTTCAATCAAATTGTGAAATTTAACCATTAACTCAATATATACAGTATGTATTACAGTATACTGTAATCAAGTCTTTCCCAGTCCCCTACATTTTACAGTACATCATAATACAGTCAACTAAAACCATTGCTAAATTTCTCAAGACATGAAGTACAACTTTCATATAAATATTATGTAATACTCCATAGATAGATATTGCTATTTGGCTGAATCTATACCAGATATGAATGACTTACATATTGATCTTTCAACTCTGTTGCCTCTTTGTTTCTGCAAGGCATATTTCTCCTCTTGAAGCTTTTACCAAACCAGGATATTCTAACTACCGGTAAGTAAAAATACTTGGACTTTCTACTGCGATCGTATGGGGCTCTATGTTGCCGTTAATTTTTTCTAAGGTCTTATTTGTATTACCTCTGAGCAAGCACTGCATTTGGGCACATGGTTTTGGAGAATATATTGTGGAGCAGGGACACCTTTTTTTATATACTACTGTATCATTAAAAATCAAATTATCTGCACAAGGTTGGGAAAATTTTTGACCGGACTGAGGCGTCAGTATTGGATGCAAAGTGAAAATTAAATTTCAAGCAAGATTAAATTTCAAAGAAATCTACATAAAAGACGTAATGTTTATGGCAGGTTAAAACTAAAAACCTGCACTAACCACATACACGGCAACCAAGCCAGACTTAGCATCAAACTTAAGGCGTGAGATTTACAAAGTGAGATGTGATTGAGTTAAGTGAGCGGTGGCGACTGTGGTAGAGAAGGTGAACACAGGACGCCACAACCACCTGCTGCTGTCACCCATCTACGCCCACTCCCGAGCTGTAACCTTTACCAGGCCCATTCTGCACATGTGCTACAAAAGCATTAATATTATTTACATCAAGCTTAGGATCTGTGGCTTAAAGGGGCATGTAATGCTTAAAATAACTGTAAATTATAAGCCCAAAAATACCTTAGGCAGGCTTTAGTAATTGTAACCCAAAGCATAGCTTTATTTAAATGCTTGTTAACTACTAGGTAAGCATTACTGCAACATAAAAACACTTTGAGGGTCAATAAATTAGGGGTGAATCTTGTCTGGTTATGGAAGGCATTCCTTTTGTACAGGAGCAATGCAAGTTATATGTAAGTCATTGAGTGTTACAGGTAAATAGTAGTATAAGCACTAAAGTATTCCCAAGATATTATGTAAATAACCCCAGGGCGCATGACTGGGTCACTCCCGACACTCTTCATCCCTCGTGCTCGTCATGGTAGAGTCGTAGAGTGGCGACAGATAGCGTTAAGTGTGACGTGCGTGCGGACAGTTAGGTCACAGTCTTCACACGATCAGAGCCACGCTAGCGCCGCGTCCGGCCAACTAAAAACACGCCCATCGTCAGGAACAACCACTTCAGTTTTATATCAGTTTGTAGTACAGTGTGTTAAATTATATTAATTGCTGATTGGCTCATCTCTCAAAGAAATTGCATTCAGTTAATACATATTGGGAAGTCTTTGTATTGGGAAGTCTTTGAGGAGGATAACTGACCGACAATTATTTATTCAAAATTTAAATTATTACATATTTTAATTAATAATATAATCTTATTGCAGCTGGAGTGTTATAGTGTTCCCTTTTAAAGTTTGCATAAGTACTGTAGAAGAATATTTGACACTGAAAGTCATGCAAAATATGATGTATACGATATTTATCTACATTATGCATTATAGAAACTTACGTGCATGGTTGTGAATAATGCAGCTATCATTCTAATGATTTGTACAATAACTGAATAAAAAAAAATCAAGCAGGGGGGTACATAATGTTAATTATCTTCTTTTTTTTTCAGCAAACTGCTATGCAAGTTGGGGGGGAGAGGATACAGTAGCCAATCACTAAATGCACTGAAAATACAATTCTGCCTTTAGGTAGAGGTACAATACTACTGTACTATAAGCGGTTTGTTCCTGACGCGGTGTGGTGATAGGAATGTGCCCTGCCCAACACTGCATATGCAGGGCCCCGAGGTTCTTAACCATCCCTGGAGAACTCTCACCCACCCCCATCTCTCATTCTCCACCCACATCTTTCCTGCTCCATGCTGTGATTGATTCAATATAGTAAGTAGGTTGGGCTAAGGGATACACATCACATTTTTTCCCCAATCAACAGCAGTGGTGGGTCTAGTCAAAACATACAGAGAATTTGAGATGTTCAGTGTAAACATTGCATGACAAATATGAAGGCCCTAGGCCTTATTAATGATTTTTTTTTGTTTTTATCTAAAGTCTCTAAAGGTTGTACTACAGTATTTGTGAAAATTATTACAGTTTGTAATGTCAAAAGAAGGTGAGAATACTCCAGGGATGGACAACCATCACCAGGCAACCCAGAGCCCCATTTAGCAGGTTGCAACTGCTTTGCCCAGTCACTGCTCAGAGGCTTCTTGGTAGTGTCTAGACTTGGGTCACATCAGGTCAGCAGGTAAGCTCACGCCCTTGCCCAACAATGAGTTCACGGCCTCTTGGGGACTCATTCACCCATTAGGATACTCATACTACAAGAGAATCATACTGATAATGGAGGAGTAAGGGTGAATTATTATGCAATAAAGACCTCACAGCTTATGATTAGCAATTAGTCTAAAAATTAATGGAGAAAGTAAATTGTTAAATCAGAAAATTAGATTAAATATTGCATGTAAATAGAAAAGGTAAGTTGCTATCCATAAATACTTTATACTTATAGAAAAGAGTATAATTTACAGGGTCAGAGTTTCAGTGTCATGCATACTACTATACTGAACCATAGTTAAAGAATATATATATATATATATATATATATATATATATATATATATATATATATATATATATATATATATATATATATATATATATATATATATATATATATATATATATATATATATATATATATATATATATATATATATATATATATATATATATATATATATATATATATATATATAATATATATATAATATATATATATATATATATATATATATATATATATATATTTTTTTTTTTTATCAAAACCAGTCATCTCTCCCCAAGTGGTCGTGAACTTACCAAGTCTTGCCTGCCTTCTTGGTCCATTGGTGCAGGTCATTCCATCCAATCTGTGTTCTGTCGTGCAAACCCAGAACCCCCACCTCAAATCCACACAAACCACCTGTTGGCCAGTACAGATAACACACAGCTGGCCTTCACCCACCTATCCATAATTAACTCTTTTTAAGGAACCAGCTGCAGCTAATGACTTATCAGCAGGTGGATGGTGTACAAGTTTATGTGGTGGTGGTTAAGAGTGAAGAACAGACTGGAAGGAGGCTGTACCAGTGAGCCAAGCAGCCATCGGTGACTAAGCTGTTCCCCCGTGAACCAATCACTGGGAACTGGCTGGAAGCGAGAGACTTTAGGCATTATTAGCAAACGGGCGTGTGCTACGCACTAACCTGACCAAGACTTTAGTGTCATGCCGGGTAAAGGAGCAGTGACAGTAAGAGAGTCAAGCAGAAATCAAACACAATATCATGCATTCTACAGACTTATTATTTTAAAAATATTCTTATACATAGGCCAATATTTTGTATCAGTAAAAGGACTGAAATACACAGGCAAATTGTACATATACTTGATACCCAGACCAATGTTGAAAAGCACTAAAAGCTAGCAAATATAATAATGATGAACAGAATCATAGGATTACATAACAGACAAAAAGATGAGAGCAGTCCAACAAAAACTGATGCCTGACAGAGCAATGTGTACTGAATAAGCCCGAGCAGGGCCTGAGCGCCCCTGGCTACAGAGAGGAAGCATTACAGAGGTACATCAACATGACCCATACCTAGTTACCATCACATCAAGTTGGGACGTGAGCATGGTACAGTAGTGCTACAATAGTACTGGGAATGCTGCGGGAGTACACGGAGACGGCACCACTCTATGGCACTTGGCGGCACCCAACCAACCTCACTTACGCCCTTGCAAAAAAGCTAGACCCGCCCGCTACGCCTACCATGTCTTTTGCACATGCATATTTATTTGCAATAACCATTTGCAAAGCGAGACTATCACAGGACGTGTGTTGGTGGGCGTGACGTGGGCGTAGCATGGGCGTGGTGTGGGTATGGCTTAGGTTAAAGAACTGTACAATATTCTGACACAAAACTATGACAATCTTCTCTGGCACAAACCCTGCCTGCCCCCTCTCTATCCTAGGACCTGAATCTGCTGCTACTATTACTACTGCTGCTGCTATCAGGTTATAGTTTCACCATCACCGTCTCCCACGTAACTCTGACAGCAGCAGCAGTGGCATCCAAGGACACAAGATAATACCAGGAGAATCTGAAGGTGGGATTATAGAGGGGGAAGACAAGGGAAGCGCTGGGGGAGGATGCAGTGCGGTCTCCGTGCATCACATATCACAAACACCGTGTAGAGCTGGGCACCATGCAGGCGTCATCCCCCGGTTACCAGCGGACATGCAGCAAGTCTGCTCTGCTGTGTCATTTAAAAGCAAAAAGACTTGGAGTCTTGTTAAAATGACAACTATTATGTCTTAAATACTTCATAAAAGCTAAAATCATTAATATCTAAAACTTCTAAAACAGGTACAGTAACAAGAAAAGTACAATGACAAATACATGTGCTACGTCAATTATCTAAAAATCAAACTTAAAAGGCCAGTTAGTAAGTTATGCTGTGCCTGTAAGGACACTGGTAGATGTTAGTAGTGGCGTGACTAGAGTCCACTAGATGCTGGTCGTTGTTGTCTTCCTCGCTCACTGGCACTGAGCGAGAGTATAAGGAAGTAGACATACAGAGGCGGGAGACTTGCTCGTCAGCCGGTACGCACATGCACACACTTTATGAAGTTTTCAGCCTCTTGTTCGGCTGCTCGCCCCCCTGAGCCAGCGAATATTGGGTGTTACTGGACAAAGCTGTGTACTGGGGTGGGTACAGGGAGGAGACATGGTTCTGGGGCATCAAAATTGAGTGGTTCATGAAGGGCACATTTGCATTGAGACCACTCAAGCCAGTTACCCCACCCATACCAGGCGCTACCCCAGCAGTCAAGCCACCTATGCCATGCATCATGCCTGGCAGTCCCATTCCTGCAGCACTACTTGTCATAGTTGGTGTTATGAACTGTTGACTATTAGAGGCATATGGTGAAAAACTTAAGTTGGCCATGGGTGATCCAATGCCATAGTTAAAACCTGGCATATTTCCAGTGGCCATCCCAGGGTGGGTAAAGCCTAAAGAGGACAGTGCCATAGGACTCATGACAGTTGGAGCATGGGTTGTGGGTGGCTTGAACTGTGGGCGTAGTCCCTTACTAAGGGAATAGCCTGTGTATGAGAACACATTAACTGGCTGTTGTGGACCCATGGGCGCTGGTGATGTAGGCACTAGTTCCCCTCCCCCAGTGGATGAGGATGAGGAAGTGGAGGAGGAAGAGTTGTTAGCCGTTATTGAGGTGGAATAAACGGCTTTGCCAGAGGTTGGGGAGTTAGTTATGGTAGAGGTGGAAGTGGATGAGGAAGAGGAAATGGGTTGCGCGGAGGAAGCGGCAGCGTGGTTGTTAGCGGCGGTGGTGTCTTGGCTGTCGGCCTGGCCCCCCACCCCCGCCAGGGGCACACTCCCGCCATACTCACATGACACTGGCACAAAGCTCTGGCTGCCCAGTTGCTGCATCAGAGCCTGTTGATACGCTGCGCTCCCTGTCGGTTGATAAACGGGGACACCAGACTTGTCTCCAGCTGGACGCTTGAAGGGCACGCCCATCCCGGGAAAAGCCTGCAACACACATGCTATTGAGCATCTAATATCCATATGCTGCTGATGTACACCACAAACATTGCCTCCCAGTCACAGAGGGCCAGATGTATGTATGATGTGGTGTTACAGCAGCAGCAGAACTAGGTGCTCCTAACAACTTCTGGTGAAGGCCCACTGAGGTGTACATGATGTAAACACCTAGTACTGCTCATACATGGTCCAAGCTCATTCAAAAACCAAACTCTGGTTACAGAAAGAGCAAGAAGTTTTAGAGATTCAACTATGTAACTGCCATGAACCTTCACATTTGTTTTTTCTGGAAAAAAAAGTATTTATAATAAGTACTGTAATAAAAAAAAATTGTTGGAGATGAATATACTGTACACCATTAGGAAAAATATATGAAGAGAGACTATTGAGAAATGAAGGTCATTTTGGCTGGAAGTGTCTGTTAATACATGTCACAAATGAGTCAGAGAGATCTAGACCATGCTGTGAGCAATGATATGAAAACTGTGAGCCAACACTGGAAGCAACTTATCACATCATGAAAGAGGCAAGGAACACTTACCACTACTTAGGATATTCGTGACCCACGGAAAACCCTGCCATTCATTAAGCATACACTTCCCAACAATAATTAAGTAAAATTTAGAAATAGAAAATCCAAGAAAATTAAGTACTGTATACTGGGGCATCAGTATTAACAGTCATTTCAGTTTTATATGACAAAAAAAGGAAAGAGTTTGTCAATTTTATTGTTGGATATGGGTAATGAAATCAGAATGTAAATGATTATGAGAAGTTGTGGAAAGAGCTGTGTGAGTGTCCCAGTGGATGAATGTCAGGGTTCGCCACTGACCACTTGATGTGACTCTTCACTGCTTGTCATGCCTTAGGCCTTCTCTAGTTCTAGTACACCTACACACACTCATTCAACTTTAGCACATGGCTAAAAGAACACTCAGTTATTCAGTGTTTTAATTCTTTGTACTGCTTTTTACATGGTATACGTATGGGGGACAAAATGTATTATAACTTTCACAGGGGATTTGAAAATTATAAAGATATATTCTGAAAATTAATCATGGCCATTCATAGGCAATGACCTTTAGCAGTGAGACACGGGATCCTGTTCTCAAAACTTAGTACTGCAATAGAGGTATTTACTTGAAACCGTCATCTAAAAGCAAGAGAATATCAGCATACACATGAGTCAAGTGGAGACTGAGAACAGGATGGCTAGTACATTGACCTGTGTCCAGGTCATACCACCAACATTTGCATTTAATGTGCTTAAAAATACTGATAAAAGGTAATAACATAAATAAGGAGCAAATTTACACCTTAAATTACATGTGTGGTGGTATAAGGGTGGCAGCAGGTCTGTCATGGTACTGTACTTATTGTGAAAAAAAAGACAAGAAAGAGCCACTTTGCAAGATCATTGTCGTATTTCTTGCAATAGCTGGTCTTGGGGAACTTGGAGGTCTTCCCTGCAATCTAGACTAGAGATAATAGACTCCTATTTGACTGATGGATGATTGACAGGTGAAATTTCAAGGGCAAAATTTTCAACTCCATTTGAGGGAAGAGGAGGTGATATGGAACAACTTAACAGTAAAGTCTTCTCTAGAATAAGGGACAGAGGGAGGAGCATATTTGCTAGGAGAACAGGAACAGATAAAAAAATTAAACCAGGGGAATGGGAGAAAATTATATAGAGAAAAATAAATAATAAATTAGCAACAGAAATAACGCGTATACTAGTTGGTGAGGTAACGATGGCTGGCAGGGCTACGGTGTTGGCCTACAGCATAAAGCGATAGTGGGTCTGAAGCTAGGAGTAACAGGTCTAGAGTGCTAGAAGTCTCCAGGGAAGCACTAATAACATTCTCAACACAACAGCATCACTGCCAGAGTGGCTAGGCAATTGCAGCAAGTAATAACTCTATTGGGACCAAGTAATAGCCAATTAATGTGTGCCTTCAGCTTTGTGTTGACTGGCATTCCGGGGATTAAAGTGTGATGCAATGCATGCAAAAATGACAGGGTAAACTGTCAATTTTGGTAAAGGGGACTGGGAGTGGTAGTAGGATGTGGTAGTGGTGGTAGTATTAGCAGTAATTGAGGAAGTGGTAGTAGTTGGAGTAGTAGTAGTAGTAGTAAACAGTACTGGTCTTGGTAGTAATAGCAAAATTTATGCAATATTAAATGCAGTTATGGAAATAGTTGGGGTAAAGAAGTGGATACATGGAATTGATAGTGTCGACTGTTGGGACAAAATTTTGCAACGGGCTCTGATCTTGCAAAACGGCAGCAACTACAGAGAACTGACTACGACCAGGTCGGGGCAAGGCATGGCGCTGACCTCAGACTAGGCCGGGAACACTGACAAGGTGGTTTTTCACCTCTGCCATGATCCTGACCCTGAGGAGTGTGAGGGGGATAGGGGGTCGGAGGGGTTATGTGTGTACTTGCATTTATGAAATGGTACAAGTGAGCTGTAGGGGTGGGGGTAGGGAATGTAGTCCTGTATTGTACCTGCATCTCAGTAATGGTACTTATGAGTTGTCAGAGGTTGTCTTAAGTGTACACTTCAATTCTGAACTAGTACCTGTACTTGTAAACTGTGGGGAGGGTGGGGGTGTTGCATTTCAAGTAGAGGGTGGAGGTGTTGCATTTCAAGTGTACCCAAGTTTCAAAAATTGTATTTGCAAGCTGTAAAGAGTTGTCCAAAATATACCAACACCTCTGGAATGGGGGTGTTTTCAGGGTACAGTACTATATTTCTGGTGATACTGGTGAGGTGTTCAGTGCTTTTGTGGGTGAATTTGCACCACAGGGATGGTAGTGATGAAATGTGTGGGGGAGTTGTACTACTAAGTGTAAGGGACATTTCATAATTATGTACCTCCATATCTAGAATGGTACCTGTACCAAGTACTGTGTGACCTTCAATTAAAGCAAAATATAAACCTGCTATAGAACTAGCTACCATTGCAACAAACAACTGAATTATTACTATACTGTTTCTTGGTTGATGAGGGAAAGTATTTTGAGGATTAAAACTAAGAGATGGATATGACTCGAGAGAAATGTTCATGTCGTCTGTGTGGGTAGAAGTGAATGTTTGTATCTGATTATATATATATATATATATATATATATATATATATATATATATATATATATATATATATATATATATATATATATATATATATATATATATATATATATATATATATATATATATATATACACAGTATACTATAGATATACAGTATACTGTATATATACATACATACATACATACATACTAGGTGTTCCGTAAATACCCTTCATAATTCAGGGGGTGTATTCCTGAGATATAAATGAATATAAATTACTAAATGACCAAATTGTCAATTCTCAATACTTTCGGAATTACAACACGACAGGTTTGATAGGAATGTGATGACACCTACGGTTACCTGATATAAATCCCATTGATTTCTACCTGTGGGGTCACATAAAAAGCAAGGTGTATGTTACAGAGGTTCGCAAACTGTGAGAAATTGTGACAAGCATTCGCAACATCCCCTGGGGTCTTTGAACGTGTGCGACACTCACTAGTGCGACAGGCCGATGCAAATCATATGGCATTATTATTGTTAATAAAAGTCATAGCACAGTGTATAGGTTTCATCACATTCCTACCAAACGTGTCATGTGCAGTAACTCCGAAACTATTGAGAATTGACAGTTTGGTCATTTAGTCATTTATCTTTATTTACATCTCAGGAACACACCCCCTGATTTATGGAAGGTTATTTATGGAACACCCTGTAAAGCGAGTGTGTTTATTTTATTTTAAATTTTTGTTAAGCTAATGATGCAAATTCATATTAATTATGTTGAGGATGGATAACCGAGATTACAGGATAGTGTAATAACAACATTTGGATGAGTAGTAATTCGTGTGTGTGTGATATATAGCAACATATATTTTATGTGTACAGTACAGTATAGAAACCCTGTTTAAGATATGTTTTGTAGGTCCTCTCCTTTGAGTGTGTAGAAGTGCATGTTTGTGGAGTTTTGTTGCAATTAAGAAGAGGAATCATACATATATAAATGTACAGGAATTAATGTTTTATGATATTTAATAGTTCATATCTGGTAAAGAATGTACACTAATGACCATTCCAAATGTCCATTATAAAATGAACAAAGAGGATATAAAAGTGGTCATGGAGTTTGTGGGGGAAATAAATATTATGCAGATAGTCAATAAAAATGTACAGTAGTAGATGAAATTAGTACCAAACAGAAATCAAACTGGATTGTACATGTTAGTGAGGAACTACAGGTATGTGGGAAAAGGAATCAAGATTTTTTTATAAATGTCTAATTTCTGGTAAATGTTATATCTACATGAGTTTCAAATGGGGCAAGTGTTAATGTCTCGGAGTGACACAGTACAGGGTAAGGTTTTGACCTGTATGACAGACAATATATAAGCTGATGAGACAGGGAAGTTTGTTAGGTTTTTCTAATGTCATTTAGAAATTTTTTCATGTGTAGTAATTACAATTATCTGTGATGTGAGCAAAAAAACATAGTATTACTAAACAAAATTGTTTACTCTAACTACCTGTACTACCCTAAATACAACAACTCAGTGTCCCAATGCCCACTTTAGATGGTGAAGAATATGCATGAATGCTTAAGTTTCTGATATTTGAAATTGGCTTTTTTGGGGGAAAATTGAATACAAGTATTGTAAAAAAACAAAAACAAACGAAGGGCAGTGGTGGGTACCATCCTTAATATTTATTTGTTTGACACTCGCCATATCTAGTGAACTTAAAAACCAATACTGAAACCCTGAAATTATGGAAAATTAAAAGTTCAGCTGATACATTATGCATAACCATCAAGTAGGTAAGCAGATGTGGTATTTAATTGGTGGTTAAATTGGAAATCTAATAGATTCCAGAATTCTTCAGCTAGTTTCCCACTGATTGCAGTCT